GCCCGTGAAGTACCCCGTACGAAGTATACTAGCAATGCGGCCAGTGGGCTGAAAAACTGTTAAAAATAGACATCCGAAATCAGGTCTGTGTTTGATGCCGGGATAGGAAGGTGGAATGGACTTTTGGGGTTCTGGTGAAGAGCGACGTTGAAATGATATTACACTGTTACGTGTTGAGATGGATATCTCTCACCAACCCAAAGGGTCTCTTATTGATCTCCGAAAGGGCCAGGGCCACTGATACCTTAACAGATCTTCATCCTACTGATGGTAATGTTTACCTACCTGCCTTGTCGAGCTACCAGTCTTAACCAATGTTGAAAATGATAATGTCGCAGTTGTCATGCATTCTGTCTATCAGTGTGAAAGAGAAAGCTTCCTGGCAGAATCTCGTCCACTGCCTGAGATATCACCATCTACACAGTATGCATAGACGCAGTGTTTCAGTCAAGAATAAATCAATCGCTACCTAGTCTATCATATCTTACTAGCTACTATAGCTATCTCATAAATCTCATCATAACAGATCGACAAATGGTACAGAATCCTCATCCATCCATCCAGAGTCCTCTCGCCAACTCTTGCCTTCTCTTTCTTGGTATATACCCCTTCTGCATTATACTGTTTTCCCAGAATCATGATCAAGAGAACAATCCGATGTTGCCACTTTTCATTGCAGCAATACTGCCCATGAGATCAACACTCTATGCAGACCCAAATATCACAACATGTGCGAAAGAAGAGAAGGACAAAACATGATTAAATTAAACAAGAAACACGCCATACGAAGCAAACACAAAGGAATCAAGGCTCACTCCGCCCTAATGAATTGAACAGAAACACTCGCCACACTCAGAATGCATCAATCATTAAGAAAGGGGAGGAAAGAAGAATGTAATGCATTTCTGAATTGCGCCGGTTCCCCATCGGAAGGAAAAGAACATTTTTTAGACGAAATCGTAAGACAACTGCCGACTCTAAATCTGGTACATAGAGTGGAGTTTCTGGACCACGTGCGGCGGAAGATGGGTGAGGAACGAATCGAAGTCGGGTATCATATTTTTATAGCCTAGCAAGACCTGCTCTTGATTAGCAACTGTCATCGAACAGTAAGATAAAAGTAAAACGAACCTGCTGGAACGAGCTCTGGATATCACGGTAGTCCTCTTGATGAAGTGACTTGGTAGGGAAGGTGGCAATGGCCTGAAAGTAGTCTCCCAGACAAGACTCCAGAGCCTGCGGGTTCTTCATCACAACATGGTTGAAACCGAGGAATGCCGATGCCTTTTCGCGCGTAAACTCAATCTTGCCCATCGACTTCAGGAACGAGCCAGCGTACTCGGCCAGGTGTGAGGCAAGTTGATCGGAGCAGCAGAAGCCCAACCTTCCGAGCGCCATCGCGGCATTCTCATTCACCGAGTCGATGATCTCCTCGTTGTTAATGATGGCAGACAGTCCATGGTACAGCTTGTCGGCGTACGGCGCCAGATTGGCTTTCTCGGTGACGGCGATTTCACCGCACGACCAGCAGGCATTATTCAGCACGCTGAACCCGGTGTGTCGGTCGTCATCCCGGATCAAGTCCAGGTCGAGCTGCTTGATCAAAGTAGGCATTATGTTGGGGATATATGGCTCAAGCTGAGGAAAGATGTTGATGGCGCAGTCACCTAGTAATGCGTATGACGACTGCCGGACCTCATAATTCGGGTCCTCCATGCAGAAGCAGAGCAAATCAAAGAACCGAGGCTGCGAGCTGGCAACCAGTTCACCGCTCTTCTGGGGATCAATGGCTTGTATGATCGCACTAAGGAGGTCCAGACTGGTCACCAGGAAATCCTTGTCGGGCTCGTCCATGGCTTGGTTGTTCACAGACGCCATGTATTCCTGCAGGTTCTCGTAGATGATCTTTGTGCACCGTTGGAACAGAGGAGGCGCAAACGGAGCAAAGGCGTCGCCATAGGCCGCAGCAATGTACCCCAGGCACTCCAGCAAGGGGAAGAGTTCCCGAGACTGGTCCGTCACCTTGTTGTACCGATCAATCAGGGCAGGCATCAGGATATCCACCAGGTGTGGTTTCGCCAGCTCTCCCATTACACATTCAGCAAGCGTCTGGACACAATCATACAGGATGTACATATTCCGATCCTTGTACTTTCCAAAGCACTGCACAAACTGTCTCAAAATCGGCTCACAGTAGGGTATCAAGTTGGCGTCCGACTTCTCCTCCAGGCTGGCAAAGGCAGAGGCGGCCGCTTCTTGCACCTTCTTATTGCCGTCTAGCATCCGGCGGAGTATACCCTCCATCATAGGCTCGAAGAAACGAGCCCTTTCCGATGGGTCAACCAAGTGAGAAGCCCATTCCGAGTACCGTCCAAGACACCAGCAGGTGATCTGTCGTACGACTGGCTGGGGGTCGTTCAGAAGCGAGATCAAGTAGGGGACAAGCTCGGGAAGGTGGGGTGTGACTGCATCCATACAGCCGTCTGCAACCGCACCGAGCGTCAGAACCGCGGCTTCACGCTGCGGCCATTGCTCGTGGCGGAGAGTCTCTTTCAGATAGGGCAGGATGATCTCGAAAATCGGCTGGTGATAAACGTTTGAAAAGACATCCAGCGCGGCCGCAGAACATTTTCTTAGGGTCCACTCGTCCTCCGGGTCATCGCCAAACTCGGAGTCCTCAATCTCACCCTCGCTCAGGTCGTCATCATCATTTTCGTCAGCGGCCGTGTCGCCGTTAGCCTGCGATCCGGGCTTAGAGGTGTCTAAACGAGCGGCTTTTGATTTGGCGAATTGGGGTCTGAGGTCCTCCTTGCGGTCTTCGAGTTCAGCATCGTCGCCTTCACCCGATAGGCGAATCGCATCATCCTCGTCGTATACCATGCTCCGGAGCAGTACGGGAACAATCTTGGGCATGTGTGGCGCCAAGGGCTGTTGCAGCTTCGCCTGCTCGCCTGCAACAAGCCAGAACTCCGCCGCATCGAGAGCCAGTTCGGGGTCCTCCGCGTTGTTCTGCTGCATGATGATGTAGTTGACCAGTCCTTCCATGTGGGGGACGAGCTTTTCGGGGGCAAAGTCCACCAACTGCGCGAAAGTCTGACACACCATACGTCGCACATCGGTGTCGGTATCGCTGGCGAGCTGGAACAACTGCGAAAGGAACAAATCCAACGAGGCGATCAACGCCTGGGGTCTGCTGGGGAGGAAGACGTGGATGGTGCTCAACGCCATAGACCGAACCCTGGGGCTCCCGCTGGATGTGAAGTCCATCAACTTCGGAATAATCACATCGAGAGGGCGCTGCCCCTCGTAATCCCGATCAAGGACCTTGCGGTTGTCTTCGCAAACTTTCGCGAGGGCCGACATGGCGGCCTCCTGAGCCAGGACCGGGACGTCCCCCGAAGCGTTCTCCACCAGCCTCAGGAGTTCATGTAGCACCTCCGGCCACGCCAACAGCCCCGCCTGTTGCAACAGTTCCGTGATAATGCTACCGGCGGAGTTCCGCACCTGAAGGTTGCCGTCCCGCAGCCCAGCCAGGGTCGCGGATCGGATATATGCTAAACTGGGCTGAGGAATTGTATTGTATGCGACCCGGATCTTCGTCTTAAGGTTCATCGCAGCGGCGAAACGAACCAAATTGTAAGTGTCGTCATCCATGCCCACGGCCGGGGGGATCTGCGGGGTGCAAAAAAGGTAGGTGATATAATTGACATAGTCGGGGGAGGATGTCGCTTGAACAAGCATCTATCAAACCGGAAAGAAAAAAAGAAGCTTTTGTCAGTCACATGTACCTAGCCCTCTGGAATGTATAGGAGAGGCGAGAAAGCAACTGCGGATGCGAAAGACAGGGGCACGGAAAAAAGTGTAAAGCCTACCTGTTCGGCCTGCTTTTGTGCTGTGCGATTATGAGGATGTAACGAGTCCCTGAGACAGCAGGCGAGCTGCCTCAATGGCTCATCCTGAGGTTGCCATTCCATTCTGGCGAACAATATGAGAAGGAAATTAAAAAAAGAAAAAGGAAAATAAAAAAAAAAAGGACAACGTCGGATACGAAAGGCAAAAATGCCCCGAGAGAAACAGTATGTGGGAGGAAGAGGAGGGAGAGGTTAGTTGGCGGTAGTAGTGTAGCACAGGGAACCCCGCCGTCCACTAGATACTTGGGGGAAAGCGGTCTCTAACCCGGTTGATTCTTCGCCCCTTCTGAGAAAAAGATAGGTATTATAGATGTAGGGCTCTTGCAGATCAAGTAGTGCACATATCGTATCATTAACAGCAGAGATGAAGATATATGAATAGAGCATGTCATATAGAGACCTGAAGCCCGTCTGGTGGCTGAGGAAAAAATTTCCCTGCTGGCAAAAAGTTCTTTAGGAGTGAAATCGAAATACAGATACCAGATTGAGGTAATAATGATAACGGACCCCCAATGTAGAGCCAGCAGCACAACATTCTAGAAAAAGGCTATTCATAAAAGTTGTTTTCAGTATTGAGGAAGTATTCGGAAGGCATTGCAGGTTAATATCTGTATCCTGAAGTGTAGTGACACAAGTGGTCTCTCATCAATAGAAGATTTCATGCAGGTTCTCAAGGTACAGCATCAGTGGTAATTTATGCGGTGAAAGGTATTGTAACACCCTGAATTTATATTCGAAACGGTATTACCATTCTTACTCGAGGTGTCTGACTTCCGAGTACTTATCTCATGAACCATCTTGCTCTCGGTTTGGGATGATATCTACCCTTTGCACTGTTCTATGCCAGGTTCAGAGTCAGTTCATTAAGATGTGTATCTATCGAATGTGTAAAAAGGTCTATCTGACATTGACGGAAAGCAAGCTTTGCAAGATGTGCTCCTCCCTCACATTGTTGTATGCGTCCCCAGTAATATATATAAAGAGAAACTTCCATATATCATCCAGCTGAATGGAACATCGGGTCCCTAGGACTGAACTTTTCAGCCTTGTTCGAGGAGGACTCACTGCCAACAGCTTCTAATCCCAAGCTTACGCCCAGACCAACTTCTTGATATCATACACCAGATGCTCCAAAATCCCTGTACGTTTCTTGGCGTCTTCCAACGAGATGATTTCCGAGTTCTCAATCACAGACGGAGGCTTTCCTTCTTCACCGGAACGCGGTCGTTCGCCGGCCATCATCGCGCGCTCGATCTCTTCGCAGATAGACCGCACCCAGTCGGTTTCGCTCACAGTGCCGCTGCCTGCGGCATTGTTTTGTGCGACGGAGTCGGACTGAGGAAGTGCTTTGAAGGCAATGAATCGCGTGGTCGACTGAGTGCCACCTCGAAACCAAGAATATAAGCTCCGTTCACCGCTGGCTTGCGCATTGCTGTTCTGGGCCTTGGTGTCGACATCGCTCTTCAGAGAGCGAGTGTTGACGCGCCAGGCGTTCTCGCCGCCTTCGCGGTACTCGATGACTAGCCCAACATTACCTTGTTCATTCGCTTGTGATTCGGTCAAGATCGATGTAATATATGTGCCGTAATTCAGACGCGATATCGAGCGTAAATCGATGCGCTCGAATGAGGTCACCTTGTCAGTATTCCAGTCAAAGCGGCAGCTGTAGACGGCCGCGTCAGTCAGGAGCAGGACCGCTTCCTCGAATGGTAAGGTCCGTAGGGTGTTGGGCTGCCGAGGTGTGAGCATAGTCCAGCCTCCCAGGAACTCTTCCGACTGGTCGCTGATCACGATCTTGCAGCTCGTATCGATTGCGCTCCGGCGTAGTTTCTGCACGGAGACCCCTGGATCGGCAGTACGCATCTCCATGGCAAATTCTGCGAATATACGAGTCGATACATTTCCCAGAAGATAATCAATGCATGCTTGTGAGAAGTAATCGTTGACAATATTGTTGTAGTATCTAGACAGCGTCAATCCGAGGTCGTTCAGTGCGCCTCGGTAGTCCCGCTTGCGGGTTCGTGTGTAGTCTCCCTTCAAAGCGGCCGTGGAGGAGTACTGCTTCGAGATCGCATCTCCATTATCTGCCCAAAGGGTATTGAACCACTGGGTAGACGAGTCGCGGCTCAAATCGATGTCAATGCCCTCAAGCTTCAGTTCGCGTTCCAAGGCCCACTGGCCAAAGGCACATTGCGCAACACCGGTACGATCCAAACAGTCCATGCAGTTGGTGCGTACAATTCCCGTCTGGCTTTGGGTGACCGTACCATTGCGTACAATTGTATCGCCGTACTCGTTTAGAACTGACTCCAAACGTTTCACAAGTCGGCTCACGTTCTCGAACTTCATCCCGCGGCATTCGTTGTGGAAATCAAACCACTCCATTCCGAGGGGTACACCGTCAATGCCGCCAGATTCATTTAGCACCCGAGCATATTTCTCGTATTCATTACCAAGCTTCAATTCACCGGCTTGCTTGTCGATGAGAGACACCGCTTGGAGTTTTCCATACCTGCGAGCGAGATTTCGAAAATGCCTGTCAAAAGCAAGCTGATTTGTCTCCGTCGAGTGGTGAAGCACCGGAACCGGTTTGAAAGCATATGGCGATTGAGAGAAATAGAGAGGGATCGATCCGCGCACTTGAAGGTAAGAATAGACATTGTGGCTGGGATCCCAATCAGGAACAGAAAGGATCTGCTCCGTTTCAACGGTGTTTGCCGTGTTTCCTTCGTCATCAACGCCGCGTCGAAGATATCGGAGCCCCGGTCGCTTGACCGACCGTCGCGAAATCAGAGTCAATAGGAAATTCCGCTTTTCGGCGTCAACCTTGACACTCTGTGCCTCATCTTTCGCGCCGAGCATTCGACCTTCTATGTGTTCAACTGCGACGTTGGAATCCGGCTGTTCTGTCTTAGCTGACACAGTGAACTCTCGCTGGCCGACGAAACCCTGCACGAGAGGCAAGATGAGACTGTGCGCGTCGGCTTTGATGAAAGGAGTCATCAAGTTTCTGTTCCAGAAATACTGTGGACATCCAGGGTCAGCTAAACCGTCTCATTTTGTTTAGCTCGAGAGCGCTTTCACATACCAACTCATCAACTACTTTGTGCATAGGTAGATGATCGTTGCGCGCTTCCTGAGCGCCGAAAGACCTCGTTAAATCGTAATCGTAGGCAAAGAAGAAGTTCTGGGAAGAATATATAAGTCTGGTGTACMGTAGGAACTTCGGCAGCAGTTCGACCGTTGGATCAGAAGGTTCCTTTCCGCTTTCCAACGGCGAGTCTGCGCCAGCGCCTGGTGCATCGGAGACCGCAGTTGACTTTTCCACTTTCGCGATTGGAGGCTGCAGTCCGGTTCCCAAGTCCTTGTCATTCCCGAGAAGTCTCTCCGTCGTATCCTGGCCGACGTTGCTAAGCCCTGGGAGTCCCAGTGTCTTTCTCGAAAGCCAGCTCGCAGCGAATCGCCCGAACCGGACGCGCTTCCCGATCACATCTTCGGCTATACTTCCTCTGCGGTCTCGGGGGAAAGAATCCTCCTGTGTTGGAGATGATGGCACACTGTTGATGTCGGGTTCTCCATCTGTCTCGTTGTCAGAGATGCTGCCTTCTGAGGCGGTCTCGCCTGGACCGGCCTCTCCCTGGAGAAGGGATTCCTTTGCCTGAGAGATTGCCCGACTGGCATCTGCCTGCGATGAGAGTGGAATAATTGCAACATTGGTGATGGAGTAGATCGGTTTGCCTTGAATCTGCGCCACTTGCTGGCGTTGAGTTATCGAGATGAGAAACGAGTATGATGCAACGGATAAAAGTCCTTAATGAAGACGGTCAGTTAGCGGTCAGTCCCCAAGCGAGTATTTGCCAGAGGGGAAGAAGCTCCGCTATATTCAGGATTGCAGGGACTGAGGACAATGTCACTGAAGTCGCCGAAAATACTAACTTACCGACTAGACCATAAGCCTCCAGTCCGGCATCTTTCCTCACAGCGGGATCCGATGCCGGCGCCGACAGAGACGAGATCTTGTTCGTCTTGTAGTCAATCCGGACAGACTGCGGCTCGTAACTGCCATTGTTACGTCCTCCATTCCCATGGGACTGCAGAACGAGACCGTCCACAGCCGCGAAAATGACCAACTTGCGCAACAAGCCAGGCATATCGCTGGATAGAATTCTCTGTGGAGATGCGGAGCAAGTAAAACAAACCAGACCTGTGTAGGTCAAGAAGAGCACCGCTTGATATCGTAACTCAAGTTGTACAGCTGAGTTTCACAGGTATGCCAGTATGTCACAAGAGTCTGCATCATCAACGCAAGCTGTGTGGCAGGAATCGCGTTGGGCGTGTGGTATGAATCGGTTGCACAGCTGACCTTGCGCGTACCCAAGCCAACCCACCTTTGCCCGGCGGGAGGAGGTGTTACATCATATCTAGGCAACCCCAGCGCTCGAGCAGACTCCCAATTGTGTCATGCTCTCCTATCAAGTAAACAGAAAACTAGGTAGCCATGATTGCGTACGTGAATTCGGATTCTTAAAATAATCAATGCCTATGGCATTGATACAAAATCTATCCCAAAATCGACACAAGTGCGTATATACAGTTCTTGTATTGGCACGCGACCAGGCGGGCCGTTCGCCGAGCCAAGGTGCAATCATCCAAACGAGTATCCAAAGAACATCCAAATCAATCATAAGCAGCCCTTGACCCTCACCCTGGTATATCCTGCGCTTGTAGAAAAGTAGAAGTACAGTTGCATCCCGCGACCGTAATGAAACCGAGCTAGATTGCAGCAAAAATAACGGATGAATCGAGCTGTGAAAATAATAAAACCGAAGCAAGTGGAATGAAAACGTTACAGAAGTGTCTTTTTGGTTCGTAAAGGAAGTAAAGACCGTCGGAGAAAATAAGAAGACAACTATGGTCATTCGTAATGTTCTATCGCTCGTCGTGCTTATTGGGATGTTGAGTGGTGCGATCAATATCGTCGCTTCGTTTATAGGTTGGCCCCGGTTCTCCGTCGCTTTCCTCCGTCAACTCTGACAGACCGAAAGCCTGATGCTCGACATCGTAAGAATGCATAAGTCCTTCGCGGTCCCCATGCCCATTCGTGAAAACAAAGCTAGATGAACGACGGTGAGGCTCATTGCTCCGGCGCGATTGCATAGATCGCCGAGTCTGGAAGCTGGCAATGCCATCCGTAGGCACCCCGTCGTCATCCAATTTCGAATTAAGCATATGTCGTCCATCAGGATCATGCCGGGAAAGGTTCAATAGGTATACGCCCGAGAAGATTGTGAGGAATCCGCAGAGCAACGAGAGAGTGTTGACAGCATCACTTGTATTGAATCCCTTGAAGAGAATAAAGGACGCGCATAACGTGGCGGTTGTAAATGTAACGTAGTAGAGAGGATTGACACTGATGATCACCATTAGCGTCAGTACTTTTCTTCGTGGGAGTCGCAAGAGCTTACATGGAGGTTGAAAATTGATTCAATGCCTTGTTAAAGTAGTTCATCTGTGTAAGAATGCAGAAAGCCGTGACGATCAAGAAGACGTATGTCGATGCATGTGTGAACTGGTTGTTTCCGTTGAATGTGAGTTTCAGAGCGATTCCGAAGGCCTTAACGGACATGACAGAGACGGAGCCCACTGTTGAGCAGATAGAGATGAAGATCAAGGGGTTCTTCTTTCCATAAACTGGCGCCACTCGGTAGATCATGACCGTCGAGAAAATCGCAACCGCAAGGCAATAGATAAGGAACCCTAACATTAGGAGACGAGTCAATCATTGTACCTAGCTAGACGTCGAGCGACAGGAAATGGGCGATGATCATAGGACGTACCTGGCTGGATCGCATAATCGAGAATTTCGTCAACTGTCTCGACTGGTTTATCCGGCGGCGCATGTAGAACGATGACAACGGAGCCAAGCAGACACAAGGCGCAGCCCAATTTCCCCAAAATGCCGAGTCTTTCATGCAGAAAATAGGACCCAAGGACAGCACTTTGAGAGAGTACGTCAGCCAGGCGCAGGGTGACTCAATCCAACCTCAGGGTTTCTTACCCAATCAACACACTAAGCGCACCAAGCGGAGTAACGAGAATGGCGGGCGCAAAGGCATATGCAGCGAAGTTGGCGACTTCCCCGATGGCCACTGTAGGGCTCTGTTAGCTCTCCATCCTGACCCTTTTGGACGTAATCGCAGCCATTCGTACATGTAGTGACTCCACCCCACCATATCGGACTTTTGAGATATGAAAAGCCTTCTCCTTCAAACCCATGTCTTTCTGAAGCGTGCATTAACCCCTGGATGCGATCAATCAGCTATATTGTTCTATGTGGCAGTTCATGTCATCGGCGGACGAATCGGGGATGAGGTCGGTTTGCTGCGGGCGGCAGGCGAGGCGAACGAACCTTCTTTGTGATAACGAAACTTGTGCCTGGGAAATGGGTCAATATGAGGCCAAAGTCCTTGGTAAGAGAACACGACATACCGATAGCCATTGTTGATAGAATGGCCAAGAGTAGGCCGACATATCTGCAAGCCAGAGATCAACCTGTTAGCGATGAACTGTCCTGATGGGCAGGTAGTGGCGGCAAGCTGTGCGGAGAGTAAAACCATACTTCTCTGAAATCATCCTAACGAATATGCAGGAGCTGATTGCTCCTCCTCAAATAAGAATCCCAATGCGAGAGAATATTGGAGAAAAGTTCAAGTTGAGGCCAACAGAGCACTGGAGGGTTGAAGCATCAGGAACGCGCCAACAAGGACAGAAGACGAAGCTGCGGATCAACAGAACAACACGCAGCAGAGCAGCGAATGAGCGAACAGAGGCAGCAGAAAATTTGAGCCAGCCCAAAATTTCTTTTCTGCAGGCTTATTCTGGGGGATGATGGGTGGTCGAGAACTCCTGCGATGGAAGAGAGAGCTTTGAGTGAGACGTCCTACAGTTTGGCGTTCCAGATCTCGCTGGCTTGGTGCCTGCGCTCGTGCGGTGGGGTTCCTCCCTCTCCTCCAAAGACGGAACCGGGGGCTGCGCTTGGGATTGACGCGTAAGAGACAAGCCAAAAGGCAAAACGGAAATAATGAGTTAAGAGGCAAAAATAAATTCGGAAACAACTGTCCTGTACACAAGGGCTGAAGCTCACTCAAGATCAGAAAATAGAACTGTTCAAAGTTGATGATAATGGCATAAGGTGTCTATCTACCTGAAGTCTCAATATTATGAACAATGTGATTGGCAAAATGACCCTAGAAAGAGGTACTTCTACACTAGAAGGCAGTCAATACAGTGGTATTATTGCGGGAGAACCATTCTACCTAGGTACTAACTAGATAATAATACCTATCTACTCCGTACTACTCACTGCATATGTACTACTACTCAACATGCATGAACTCGATAAGCTTCAATAGATCGAGAATTGCATAGTCGCAGGTCAGGAACAGTCCAATATAAGACTGTTTGTACAGCCAACGTACCTTGTCGCATTAGAAAAGGACAACGGTGTCCTTTCGATATAATTATTCACATTTTTACATATTATTGATTAGGTCCCTTCACAATTATGTAACTAATCAAATCAGCTAAGTAGATCCCGTCTTTATTCAAGCCATTATTATCCATCTATCCAATCATCAACCCATTTCAGATGCCGTTCATCCTGTTGAGCCCTTCCCGTGGCCTCCCTTGGCTGCGATCGGCGTTTCAACCACGGGCTTCTTTCGAGGACCTGAAGTAGCGAAATTAACGTGGCCGCTAAAGTGCTAAGAATAAACACTCTGTGCACCGTGCCGAGGTGCATAACTATGATCACCATGAATATGATCATCTTGAATATCATCATTGCGATTATTGGAATCCATTGCCTTCTGAGAAATGGTGTCCAGGATTTTCTCATTATTGGCATTATTGCCATGATCCCCTTACAGAGAAGATTTCTCGGTGCTTACTGGCAAGATTGGACATCAATATCATCCCCTTGTAAGCCCCTTAGGACATAGATGCAAGGACAAAAGCGCATTATCAAGTACTTGCGGCAGCATTATTGACCATGGACAATCAAACAACATTCATGAGCAAATAGATTAAGCAAACTCATCAGATGCCAGCATATCTGTACTGTGCCTGGGGGAAACCGAGCGCAAGACAATTATGAGATTCGGAATAGCACACGAGAAATATTAAGTATATCATTTTGTACCGTTCAGCATAGCGAAAACGGAGTAAATCATCGCACCCAAACACCATCACGCCGAGCTAGATGCTATCGAAAATAATAATAAAGGGCCTCTGTTATAGACATGTGCACAATGGCGGAACCCACGCACAGTGACCCTCAGGAATGACCCATGAGTTGAAGGTATCATCTTGCATGCCAAAAGCCATGAAAGCAAAATGCGAGAAACAATATGCACTTCAAACGCACAAATGATATCACATACAAACCTGACGTGGCAGCCAAATCTAGCTTGCCTTCAAAGCAGGGGAATGCAGTTCGGAATACACTCGAAACGGTGGGTGTACTCGAGTAGAAGCGTAAGACCAGAGTGTTACGTACCTTGCTAGAAAAGTCTGCCGAATTCTCCATTGTCGGGCAATCCCCTAGATTGAGATGGAAATACCAGAGTATATGGCCGATATGTGATCGACAACCATCGCGAGATGAACCGCCGGTTTTGCTAGATATGAGTATGATTGTTAGATAGGGGCGTGAGCTTTGAATGAGCTCAGGGATGGCGGGGACGGGAATGAATGAAGTAAAAGTATGGGAGCAGTCTAGGGGTATCATGAGGATCGAGAGCGTTTGAGGTCGGGTGAGGGATTCTCAGCAAGATCAAACTCGTCTTCCGGGTCGCGGGATCGTTTCGAAGCTCCGTTATCGAGAGATTTCAAGCCAGAGGCCGGGCTTCCGTTGATGGTATCGAGCCCATCGGCAAATCCCAAATCGATATACTCTTCATCATCGAGCGGCAACTCGTCGTCATGCTGGGGGAGAAGCTCAGCTAGAGTATCGTCCTCAAACTCGTCATGGTCCTCGCCAAATTCACTAGTGTCGTCGATAATTCCATCCTTGTTCTTAGAATCTTTGGAAGGGCCCTCGAACAGATCTTCTACGAAACCAAGCGTATCGTCGGCACGATCTGGAGTATCG